ATTTCGTGGCGGGTATCTGGGTATAATTTCGTGCCATCAATCACCGGCTCGTACTATAACTACAATTAAAAGAAACAGTTTACATACAAAAATATATTTATTGTGGCAATAATTAAAATAAAAACTTTCAATTAGTTTCGAATTCAGTACACAAGACTTGCGATTGTGTCGCCATCTAGTGACATACGCTGGGAACTGCGTTCATTGTTTATCTCCTGCATAAATAGCGTATTGCTGAGAGTGGATAAGGATGGTGAACTGCGGAGGTTGTGGGAAGTTCCTACCGGTGGCGGGTGGCGCTGCTTGCTCTCTGTGTCCTTTGAAGTTCCACAAAGCCTGTTTGAATATTCCAGATAAGGCACATATCAGTAAGGAGTGGGCCTGTCCGAACTGTAAAAAAAATAACCGTAGGGGTGATAATAGTCAGACTCCCGTTAAAGGCATTTGTGCCTCCCCACCGAGGGAGACTGCGTCAAATGTGCCGCTCGAAGCTGCAGGAAATTATGATGTGTCAGTGAGCAGTGAGGAACGTCATCACCTCGAACTTGCTACATTTATGGCGGAGATGCGTGAGTTTCGGAGGGAGATGAACGAGCTCCGTGTGTCTCTGTCAACGCGCATTGACAGCATCGAGGTGAGGCTGGACGCGCTGGAGCGCCGCGAGCCGGACGGCGGGACTGCAGAGTTGGAAAGAACCATCGACGAGTTGAAGCGTGAGCTCAATGATCGCGATCAAGAGGCGCTTCTGTCGGACCTCGAGATCGGTCAGTTACCGGAGGAGAGGGGTGTAAGCGTCGTGCAGTCCGTCACCGTCCTGGCTGCAAAGCTCGGAGTCGCATTAGAGCCGAGAGACGTGGTATTCGCGGAGCGCGTGGGCGCGCCGCCTTCGGAGGCGGGCGGGCGGCCGCGTCGCGTGGTGGTGCGTCTGGCGCGCCGGCACCTGCGGGACGAGCTCCTCAAGGCCGCGCGCGTGCGCCGCAGCGTCGTTTCATCTACGCCCGCGCCCGCGCCCGTCGACGGGGAGAGGACCACTACCCCCGCTGCCCCTGCGCCCGCGCCTGCCGAGCGCCGGGTCTACCTCAACGAGCGATTGACTCGATCGAACCGCCAGCTACATCTGAGAGTCCGCGAGGAGTGTCGTAAGCTGCAGTGGAGATACGTGTGGACGAAGAGGGGCCGAATTTTCGCTCGACAGGCGGACGGTACCCAGGTTTATCAATTCCTGACAGTGGGAGACATTGCTCGTGTGCTTGGTTCCCAAAAGGCATGACTGGATATAGTCCTCACTCTACCTTCGGCTGCTTTCGGAATTACTTTTTCTTCTTTTTCGTTTTGTGTCAATATTCAGTTATATACCGTTTTTGTTCTTTTACCTGTAAAAAAAGTAATTTTATTTTTTACTCTAATTCACTTACTATTTAAGTTATCACATGGCCCTGAATATATTTTTGTTCTTGTGGCATTTTTCAATTTTACAATTGTTAGCTGTTTGTTTTTATTTTATATCTATGTTTATTCACCAGTTTTAATATGTACTCTTACCAACTATTTTATCTGTTCACTGATTGTTTTTGCTCAATATGTTTATATCTGCAGTGCAGTACTTGTAGCTGTACTTCCTAATTATATATATCTATGTGTCATGTTCCTTTCAGTCTGTTCACTCACTTTTCCCCATTATTTTTCAATATACCTGTTTAACATTATTGATCATATTCTCCTTTTCCGCATTTTCATTAAGTATGCAGCAAATATAATTAACTACGATAATTCATTTCAGGACTTTCTTACTACTTACTTTCCCCTCTCAAAATGACAAATAAATTTCTTAAGTTGGGTTTGTTTAATGCTGGGTCGCTGGGTTCGAGACACGACGAATTCATATCTATCATGAGCAGGTTGTCTATTGACATTGTCGCTATAAATGAGACCTGGCTTAGACATGGGGAGGATGGCCGTGCTCCTATGGTGCCTGGTTACCGTCTTCGGCACTGCCCTCGACCTGTTTCTGTTCGAGGAGGGCGAGGGGGAGGAGTGGGTTTTTATATTAAAAAAAGTATATATGTGCGTACTTGCCCCATTCCTCCCACCCCTACTGTGGAGCAGATGTGGCTCAGTGTTAGGGTAAACTCTCTCCAAATCGCTATTGGCACCGCTTATAGGCCCCCCTGGATGGATCTAAATGTATTCCTTGATGCCCTGTCTCAGTCGGTGTGTTCGGTGGCTCGGCATGACTATATCACCCTGTTAGGAGATTTTAATGTTGACTTTACTAACTTTAATAATGCAAAATATAAATTACTATCATCTTTCTTGGAATCTTTTAATTTAATGCAAGTTATCACTTCGCCAACTCATTTCACAGACCATAGTCAGACTCTGATTGATCTGTTTTGTACTGATGCTAGGGTACAGAATATAAATGTTACCCACATTCCTGAGCTTGGTAATCATGCTGTTATATCAGGTGAACTATGTGTAAAAAAAGTTAAACCGACCCCATATACTATAACCTACAGGCCTTTTAAAAGTATTTTAGCAGAGCAATTTGAGATGGATTTAAATTTAATTAATTGGAATAACATTTCAATACTCACAGATCTTAATTCCATGGTTGCCAGTTTTAATTCTTTGGTACTTCAATTGTTTGAGTTGCATGCCCCATATAAAACAGTCATCATTAGGGAACAGCCACATCCTTGGATTACTGACACTGTGAAGGAAATGATGAGTATTCGAGATGAGGCATATGCTCGTTGGAAGAGTACAAAATGTGAATCACATAAAACATTTTATAAGGAAATGAAATCAATTGTAACCTCAGCCATATTTCAAGAGAAAAAATGTTATTTCAATCAGCATATAAATAAAAACATAAACAAACCAAAAATATTATGGAATAATCTAAAAAAAAATATATCAATAAAAAATGACAAAAATATACCTATTCCTTTTGATCCAGATGTTATTAATGACCACTTCTTGAATGTGCCTGGTACCCCATCAGTAGATATTTCTAAGCTGACCTACTTTGAATATCACAGACGCGGTGATGCCACCTTTTCTCTTTCCTCTGTATCTGAGAGCACTGTTGCAAATATTATAAAGAGTCTGCATTCTGATGCTGTTGGAGTGGATGGCATATCTTTACAGATGCTTGTCATGACTCTTCCACAATCTCTTAGTGCAATAACATCCATTGTAAATAAATCTTTAAGTGATGCACAATTTTCTGACTTTTGGAAAACAGCTCTAATTAAACCTATTCCTAAATGCACGAATCCATCCAGTGTTAGCGATCTTCGACCAATAAGTATTCTGCCTTGTCTGTCTAAAATTGTGGAGAAGGTAGTGTGTGATCAGATAGTGAAGTATTTGGAATCCAACTCATTGCTACCCCAGCTACAGTCAGGTTTTCGAAAAAAGCACAGTACATCTCCGGCTCTCCTTAACGTAGTCGATGATATTCTGTCTGCGCAGGATAAGGGTATGGGTACTCTGATGGTGCTCCTTGACTTCTCGCGTGCCTTCGATTCTTTGTATATTCCATTACTTCTATCAAAGCTTTCTTACTTTGGATTTGACGCTGCAGCCGTACGATGGTTTCACAGTTACCTGACAAATAGGATGCAAACTGTGGAAGTGGTAGGTGGAAATGGGTCTGTATTCTACTCTCAGTGTCGTGCAATATGCAGAGGTGTCCCTCAAGGGTCCATTTTGGGTCCCATTCTGTTCATCATTTATAGTGCAGATATAGCTGAAAGCATAAAGCACTGTCAATTTCACTTATATGCTGATGACGTGCAGCTGTATCGGAGCTGCTTTCCTAGCGATACTGGTGAATCTGTGGATAAGATTAATGACGACTTAAATGAAATACTTATCTGGTCACATGAGAACAGTTTAGTTCTCAATCCATTGAAGACTAAATATTTGATTCTTGGCTCTAAGAAACAGGTGACTAGCATCATGTCAAATGACCCTCAAATTTTTGTTAATGGTCAGTCCATTGAACAGGTATCAGAGGCTAGGAATCTGGGAGTAATTTTTGAATCAAATATGAATTTTGAGAAACATGTTCTCGAGGCTGTTCAAAATTGTTTTTACCGTCTCAAGGTGCTATATAAATTTCGCCCTTTTCTTAGTGAGGATTTAAGAATTCGTCTGTGTGAAACATTGGTCCTGTCCAAACTTAACTATGCTGATGTTGTTTTTGGCCCATGTCTGCTAGCTAGAACTGAACGTCTCATTCAACGTGTACAAAATGCATGTGCGCGTTTTTGTTTTTCTATTCCATCTAGGGCCCATATTACACCATACTTGAATAATTCCAATTTAATGAGGATGGGCTCTCGTAGACAATTGCATTTTGCCACACTTTTGTTTGATATAGTACACTCTCGAATGCCGGAGTATCTTTACTCTAAGATTAACTGGGCCAGAGATAAAATGTTTCGTTCAAGAGCTGCCACTTACATGATACTCACTCCCGCACATAGAACTGCTGCTTTTCGTGGCTCATTCAAGTACTCAGCTTCGAAGTGTTGGAATAATTTGCCACCCCCAATACGTTCACTGAAAACACATGACACATTTAAAAATAATTTTAAGTTGTTCTTGTTACAGACACAGGTGCAGCCCGTTTAATTATCTTTTCCCTTACCTTTTAATTTATTTTCAACAAATATATTGCTTTTTGTAACAGCCGAATCTTTTCTTTTCATTTTTTGTATTGCATACGTGTCACTGTCACTAAAACTAAGAGCAAAGAGTACGGAGTCAAAGTCCATCTTTAATTTTTATTTTATTTTTTCTTTGTAAATAACCACAGATTACCTCTGTTACAATGTATAATTTCTGCCACAGATACTGCTATGTGTCCTGTCCTATACTGATTTCTTTTCTTTTTTGTTTTGTTATTTAGTATGTACTTAATCTGTATTTTACCTTTTTCTTTTCTGTGATGTCACTGCTCTGGGTATGGCAGAATACCAGTGCAGCAGCGGGTCAATTATGCTTTAGTGATATAATCATAATGTGATGTCAATATGATGTTGATGCCAACTTGACATTGTTTTTAAATTGGTATTATGAAACATTCCTATGTCACATCAAGATCATATCAATATCATATCCTGTATCACATTTTTGACGTTTATGCGATACTGTTTTAAGTCAAAAAGTTGAACGTAATACGAAAGAGTTGATCATAATAGGTACGCATAAGTTGATGTCATTTTGATATCGCATTTTTCGGAGAGCATAATACGTAATGTGAAATTGACATCAAAACAATATCACAATTAGCGAGCATAATTGGCCTGCAGGAATGCTGAGTCATATCCAGTGTTGGCATCACATAAAATACACATTTACCGTCTGTAGCTGTTTTTTGTTGTTGTTAATTTTACTTGTACGTTTTGTTTTACTTTTTGTTATATGTATTTTTGACTTTATGTGTATGTTATGTGTTGTCAGCAATAAAAACATTTTTCTTTCTTTCTTTCTTTCTATGGGCATTGTTCCCCTTGCCTTCCCTAAAACGGGAGAACTTCAACAAAAAAAAAAAAAGGTGACAGCGTTGCGTATAACAAGTGTGTTTCCAAGTCATATGTTTTCATACAAATTTCGTAGTTTAGACGTCATAATGCGTAGCATACGTTGCAAACGTGGGCTCAGTTTGTCCCTAGCTTAAAGTTTTTGGCCTAGTCCCTGTAGCATGAGCTTCAAAATTTACATTATATCACGTTTTTTATCGCGCCTAACTGTCAAACTCCATAGTAATTTGACAATTGAGCGTGATAAAAACAATATATCATACCACTATCACGGACCTAAAAAAAAGACGGACGTAACCTCGTCTAATCACGAGTGAAGCATGCAAATGGCCGCCCGTTTACCGTGTGTGCGTGATTTGAGGGTGGTCATATAAGTCATCGATTTCCCTATTTATTAAATGTCTCAAACTAAAATATTGTTAACACTATGTAGGTAATTATCCCGTTATTGTAATAAATAAATATTACAATAACGGGATATTTACCAAGTTTTTATTAGATGTGAGCTCCCGATATTTCAGCAATTTAAACGGGTGCACTTTAGAAACATAATGTTGGCCTATCAAACATCATTTTTATGACGACCGTTAGAAAAATGAAAACACTTGCTAGGTATAAAGTAATTCATTATTTACATAAAAATTAAGTATCTGGTTAATATTACACATTAATATACCTAAATCGCGCAGATTAATGCTTAAAATAAAAATATAATACACTAATATTATTATTTCTTCTTTTAAATGTAAGTGTTTTATTCATAGATGTAGTAGGTATTTAAAGACTGACAGACTGAGGAAAAGAGATATGTCGACATGGGGACAGGAACTTCAGAAAACTGTCAAACCCTTGCTTCTGAAGCATTCGTGTTCTTAATACACGGTATCAATTAGCATTTTAAATTACCTCTGGGATATTTACTGGTAAGTGCAGAGCAGAAATTTAATTAAAGGAGATTGCTCAGCTTCCATACATGTTTGGCCTGAACACCAAGAATCATGAAAAATTGTTTCCTAGATTCGAAATTATATATAAATTACTGTAGAAACGAATATTATTGACGGACACCCCTGAGAACTTCTATAAACCATATACACTGAACATATTAAAATAATAAAAAACAAATAAGTTATATAGTAAACTAGTGAAATCAAGCCAAGTACCGAAATTATGGATTAGATTCAGGTATATGCATGTACATTAACAGATAGTTGCCTGTTTTTAAAGCTAATGCATAAGAGTAACTTTTAAAATCAGGTGTCATTTCCGGTTATAATAAAGTACTCTGTGACAGAAACTGTGTGATGAATGTGAATGAGCCACAGATTAGAGAGAATTTTTAGACTCTCGTTAACCAAAGAAAGCTAAGAGATTTAGGTTCTATAGCCATATATTCAGTAGCTTCATTATTTTTGTTATGTTTTTAAGATAACCATATTTTACATTTTTAGTGTATATTACACCTTATAATTTTATTTATTTATTAATTTATAGTCAGGGACCGTAGGCCCATAGATAGATACCTTAAAGTCTAACATATATACAGAATATAATGTGTTTATGGAGGTGTTTGGCGAAAAATGTATGGCAATTGACTTTATGATGTCGCCTACCATCTATAATAATTGTCTGAGCACATTTGCATCTAGTGAAAATGATAATATAGTTGTGGATATTAATACCACAGTGTAATAAAAAAAAAATTATTTTATTTTATTTATTATTTTATCGATCTTTACAAAATAGATTTGTTTTTATGTTATATAAATAACTTCGATCAGTCTTTGGCTGAATGTTAGTAGTAACACCCATAGCCATTAAAAATGATTCGTATGTTTTCCAAACCGGTAAAATTAAAAATACTTTTAAAGTAAATATATTATACAAAGGTGTCCGTTGAAATCTAATGACTGTAAATTAAATTATAAATTACGCCAAAAATTACCGTGTATGTCAATATTTTTTGTGCATTTAGGCCAATTTGGGCAATCTCCTTTATTTATGTCTTTTATAATGTTATGATGCAGGCTTTAAGTCGCATGCTTAACATTCGATATACAAAAACAGAACACAGTAATACAGGCCAAATAGGTCCCTGCCTCAGCTTAATACTACAGCAACACCAGGGCTGCTGCAGCGCTGATAATTCTGGCAGGGTTGACGAGACATTTTTAATTTAATAATAAAACAGAAGATTAGAACCATACCAATCAGCATGACAAAAAAAAATATAACAACATAGACTGAATGCTTTTAGTATCTTAAGCCTTAAAACAAGAGAAATGAATTTATTAAAAAATTAAATAAAAATGAAGTAAGATTTATCTATGACAAACTAGAACTTACAAAAACCAAAACTAAAACCAAACAATAAGAAAACACAAAGAAATAATTAGTTACAATCAGTTTCTAAACACAAAAAAGTTTGCTACATATTTACATATACATAAACAACAAAGAATTCACAGCGAGGACATACCATTTTATAAAACATATAAAATATTCTATGAATAATATGGCTTCTATTCTTTTCCTTTTGGGATAAGGAACCCTAAAAAGTTACGAAATCTGACCTTACCGAGTCACAAATGCAAGAAATACAAAATTCCCTACTTTTAGGGAAAAATCCCCGTAAATAAAGTAGCAATACAGTTGTATTTTTGTTTACAATTTTCATCCCAGTAAATAAAATATAATATGGAATAAATATCAAGAATTGTCAATACTTACGCATGGTAGGTAATTCCTTGTGACTTTTTAAATTTATTCGTGTAGTTTTTACAGGATTTCACCACACAAGATGGCATTTTAAATTATTTTTATCAGAGCAATTGAATGTGTGACTGCCGCTGTCACGCGGGGTCAAATGGCAGCGTTTTGTCCGACCTGGTGCATTAGTGTGAGTGTAGTAGTGTACAACAAACGGTTTTGTCTGACCTTGCATGCTTCACATGATTTGCCTTTGATGTTACGTCCGTCTTTTTTTTAGGTCCGTGACCACTATATGTAGTGTTGCTCTACAAAGTACAAAATTTAATTGCAGTGTGGATGCACATTTGTGTTTGTTTTCAACACAAAGTTTTGTTAGTTTTTTTTAAATATTATTTAAAAATCCCGCTCAAAACTCCTTCCGTCCGTTCTGTATTTTGTTTGTGACTGCGAGCCAGTCTGAACATCTATTTTAAATAACCTATCTAACCTACCTACGACAACGACTGTCCATATTCTCAGTGCGATTGTGAGCGAAATCAATCATCTCGCTCGTGTAAGTTGCAGATAAGGGTTTTGAAAATGTCGGATGCCAGCGATACTTGTTGTCATAGAATATTAGAACTCTACAGTGGCATTGGAGGCATGCACTGTGCTTGGAATAGTAAGTAGTTTTATTTACCTCGGTTTTAAGCCAGAACACCATAGCCGGCTCAAAAAAAATCGCGCTTACAGTCAGTCGTACACCAAAGTAGCAATAGTTTGAAGTTAGTTGCTCAGCTCATGCTGCTAACAAAGTTATGACTCCCAGTGATCAAAACCGCCAACAAGGTTCGGAGTGAGATATTAATATTTATCGAAATATAATACAGAATCTAATACATTTTTAAAAACATTACAGGTGCTGGTATTAAAGGAAAAGTTGTTGTGGCTGTAGACATAAATACTGTTGCTAATGAGGTTTATCAATCAAATTTTCCTGATACAAATATATTTAACAGAAATATTCAATCTTTAACTTCAGATGAAATCAATGGATTAAAAGTGGATACCATATTAATGTCTCCACCATGCCAGCCTTTTACACGAAATGGAAAGCTTCTGGATGAAAATGATACAAGGGCCAATTCCTTTCTTTATCTAATTAAAATACTAGAAAAACTTAAAAATATCAAATATATTTTAATGGAGAATGTAAAAGGCTTTGAAAACTCTACTGTTAGAGATATATTTATTAAAAAAATTCAACAATGTAATTTCAATTATCAAGAGTTTCTAATTTGCCCAACTACTGTTGGTATTCCAAATTCTAGATGTCGATATTATTGCATAGCAAAGATAAACCACTCCCCTTGGCATTTCAAGAGAAAAGATGAAATAGTAAGTACAAATTTACACATTTATATAATTTAAAGTTAGTTTAGTTAGTTGCATCTCCATTATAATTGTGAACTCTTATTATTTTTAGATGCAGTGTTTACCAAAACAATATGATGAACCCTTTACTTTGGATGAAATTCTCGAAGTTGATGTGTCTGATAAATTTCTTTTAAAAGATAAATTTCTGAAACGTGGAAATATTTTAGATATTTGCTATAGAGACTGTAGAAGATCTTGTTGTTTTACAAAAGCATATTCTCACTATCTAGAAGGGACTGGATCTGTGGTTACTGAAGCAAACAGAGATATTGTCCAAAAATGTTATGAATTAGCTAATAATACAGAAGTGGGAAGTGATGAATTTATAAAAGCATTAAAAGGTATTAAATTAAGATTTTTTACTCCTAAAGAAATATTATTGCTTATGGCTTTCCCAAAAAATTATGTATTTCCAGATACTATTACTTTGAAACAGTGTTATAGGTTATTGGGAAACAGTGTCAATGTTAAAGTTATTAGTGAGTTAATAAAAATATTATTTGAATAAATAGTTATCAGTTTTATTTTCATTAGCCCCAAAGGCTCATAAATTAAATCACTAAACATTGCAATTTCTTATTAGTTTCCGACTAAATTGATCCATTGCTAAGAACTTGTCTCGCCCTTCTTTTTGCTCGATGGTTGAGGACCCTCATTCTCAACATAACTGCAATTGAAGATATGGAGCCTATGACAAATGACCATATTGTGAATTTCCAATAGGCTCTCTCTTCCAAATAGGCCACCCTGTCACAACTGTAAAAAAATAAAGTAATTGTTATTTAATAACAATATCATAAAAATTAATACATATTATTAAGTCATTTTAGCACCTTCTGGTTACTGTCTCCCCATTGCCACACTTTAGTATTTCTTTGAAACTTGTGTGTATACATACACCAATGCTTTTACTTCTTATCTCAAAATCTGGAAATGAAACATGTTATATACAGGTAGGGTTGCCACCTTCTTTATGTCCAAATAAAGTACATTGGATATTAAAGGTAGAAAAAAAAAAGTAAATTGTGTAAAAAAAAATACTTTTTATTCTACTTTATTAGTAGGTAAGCTTAAAAATATATTTTACGCTGCTTATAGCAACTTTTAATAAATAATTTGTGGCTACTAATTATCTGTAATTCTTATCTGCAATGGGAAAGGCCATTGTACAAAGCCATACAGCCGCAACAATGTTGCAAGAATGAGCTAAGGGTGAGATATTATACATACTGTTGTTTCGTTCTATGGAAAAATTCTTCCTATCCTTTTTTTGTATATTTATGAAAATTAATCCCTAAGTAATCAATACATTAAATAAAGTATTTTCGCGCACTTTATTGTTGGGCTAAAGTATAGAGTATAATTACCCGAAATAACATACAATACTTTATAATAAAGTACAGGCGGCTACCCTATATACAGGGTTACAAAAGTACTTTCCAATTGCTAAAGAAGTTGCCATTTATTTTATTCATAACAAGAACATAAATCACAAATTAATATTATCTACTTTAAGAAGAACTAATGACTGATGGAAGTTTCTTGTAAGATCAAGAATAATAGGATATGTTAGCAGTCTAGCGCTAGCCATTTGTATTATGGCATATATTATATGCCTACTCACTTGTAATTTTGTATTGTGCTGCCAATTAAACAAATACAAATAACTTGTTAGCATTAGATATATAGTACTTTAAACAACAGCTGTTTCTGAATGAAAATTACCTGAACAGGGGTGACATTCACTGATTATTTTATATGGCTGATGCATCCAACAAGTTGAATTTTCCTCTTGCGGAAATGTCTTGTTTTTCATTCTTTGGCTTCCAGATAAAGTGTCTGCTAAGTGTGACTCCAGGATAAGCACAACTATAGTTAAACTACAAGTTAGAACAGTAAATAATAATGTTTTTATAAACTCAATAACATTTTGTTAAAATCTATATACTCACACTCCCATAGAAATAGTTCCCAATAACATACATCGTTTAGAGCACGTTTCAATCATATTGTTCGGCGATATAAATTTACTAATACAAATTACAAAATATTATTTCAAGAAAAATATTTTTTTTTTTTTTTCCTTTTCCCATTCTGGGAAGGCAAAGGGTACTGTGCCCATACAGCCAATTCTTAAGTTTAATATTTCAGAATAATATATGCTGTATATAATATTTAAGCAGTAATAAGTTGTATTTCTTCTTTTTTGTAGCCAGAGCGAAGTCTTATTTTAGGTATCTTGTCTTCAAAGTACTTCTACTTCTTTCTTAGCGTTTTTCTTTTTATAATATTGTCTTCTTTTGTGTTTTTTCAGTAAGGCCGAAGCCAAGTCGTTTGTGTGTATGTCAAGATAAGTCATTGTCATTGGTAGAATTGTCAAGAATATTTTGAAATATTTTCAAGTCATATCAAGTTCAGAGTCTTTTAAAAAATGTCCAATTCGTGGGTTATTTTCAAGTCATAATTGTGAGTTCGTAAAGCAAGGTCTTTAGTCAAGTTAGAGGTATGAAGATGTGATTGTAATATGAAACAATCAAAATTTAAATATCAATAACGGTCGTATTGATATATTGATAAATAGGTTTAAAACAACTCTTGTTTGATAAGAGCTGAGGTAGAGAGCGCGGGATATTTGCAGATATTTTATAAATATCTAAGAGTTGATCTATAAAAATCATTCTTTGTAACGAAAAGGCACTACAATCAAAAAACAGATGATGAAGAGTTTGGCTAATTGGTAGACGACAATAATTACAATCAGAAGACGAGATTAAGTTCAACCTGTGTAGATGAGCATTAAAACGACAGTGTCCTAAACGCAAGCGACAGATGGTTGTAAAAAACTTTCGACCATTATAATCCTTTCCTTTGCAGAACCATGGAATACTGATTTCATTGTTGATTTCAACATACCATTTGCCTTTCGTCTCAGTAATTCTGGACCAAAGTCTTTTGAAGGTATCTATTATATTATTCTTTATGTAGTGTAAAAGATCCGTTTCAGGTATTAGAATGGCCTTAAATACAGAGCTGATAATATTACTATGGATATCGTTTGTAATAGAAGTGGCTATAAAATCTGCTTTTTCGTTTCCAACAACACCAATATGGGAGGGGGTCCAGAAAAAGACAATATCCCTTACAATATTTGAGTGTGTTAATTGATAATGTTTTTCCCTGATTTGGTAAATTAAATAATTAGTTTTAGCATTGAATTTGGGACTGTCTAAAGCTTTTAAAACACTCATACTGTCAGTGATTATTATCCATTTAGGATGATTTTGATGTTCAATGTAATGAAGAGCCTCCAAAATGGCTGAAGACTCTGCTGTATAAATACTGGCTTTATCTAATAACATGTAACCTAAACCTCTCTCTGCTCCTAAATCATAGAAGGCCAAAGAAACTCTTTCATTGCTCTTTGCACCAACAGTGTAGATTTGGCTATACCCTATGAAACTCTGCAAACTTGTGTAAACATCTTCTTTATATTTTAATTTGTGGTCTATGACTACATTTATTGATGAAAATTTACTTAGATATGAATCACTGTAGCAAGGTAGGCTCAAGCTCTGATAGATGTTGTTATTGGATGCCAAAACTTTGATTTCATTTAAGCCATGAGTTAAAAATGTAGAACTGTTTCTATTAGCAGCTTGCATTAATTTTAAAAGTAGAGGATGCCTGATGAATGATGAAAGTTTTAATAGAAATTTATAGTGTAGATATTTAAACCGTAAATTTAAGGGCAGGATGTTTGCTTCAACTTGCATTGAAATAATAGGGGTTGACATCATAGCTCCCATAATAATGCGCAGACATCTGTTTTGAATCTTATTTAGTCTTTCAACTAGTTGAGGCTTATGTGCAAAACAGAAAAAACCGTATTCAAAATGACTCCTAACTAAGCTTTTATATAAAATTAGTAGTAATTTGGGATCAGATCCCCAATATGTGCCTGCTAATGATTTTATTATGTTACAAGCTTTTATACTTCTATTTGTCAAAGTTTCGATATATTTGTCCCATTTAAAATTGCTTTGAAAAGTAACTCCTAAAAATTTTGTTGATGATTCCGTTGGAAGTAAATTACCATTGTAATAAATTTTGATCATTCTGGTGGAGAAGGTGTTGAAACCTATTACCTTACTTTTATTAATACTAATATCCAAATTTAGATTATCCAAATATGTATTCAGTTTTTTTAATGCACCATTTATTGTATAATTATTATCTTGTATATTGTCACCAGAAAAGTAAACCACTAAGTCATCAGCAAATTGAAGGTTGCAAACTTCGTTACCAAGTTCAATGTTGATTCTGTGGGTATATAAAATATAAAACAGGGGACTTAGTATACCGCCTTGACTTACGCCTTTAAAAGAAAATCTAGGCCCAAATAATTGACTATTATATTTAACATAAATTTGTCTACCATGAAGAAAAAGTTTAATCCAGTTAATTATTTTTAAGGGAAGTTGAAAAGAAGCTAGGATAGAAGTCAGTTTATCTAAATTTACGTTATTGAAGGCGCTAACTACATCAAGAAAAACAGCAATAAGTACTTTATTACTATGCACAGCATTATCAATATCCAAATATAAATGACTAAGACTCTCCCGAGCAGAACGGCCCCGTCGGAATCCAAACTGATTACTGGGTAAAATATGATTATGTTCAATATAGAATTCTAGTCTTTGTTTTAGTAATTGTTCAAATATTTTCCCTACACAAGAACTAAGAGTAATTGGACGATAAGAATCTGCACTATTTGGATCTTTGTCAGGTTTGAGAATTGGGATAATACAGTCTAATTTCCATTCATTGGGGATGATAGAAGATTGCCATAGTAAATTTATTATTTCTAAGAACTTTTCCAGACTAGATGAATTTAGAAGTTTAAACATTTTATAAGACAAACCATCAAGTCCACAGGCAGTGTCTTTTCTTGATTTCAGTGCAGCCTGGAGCTCAACTAGTGTGAAAGGATCGACTATGTAGGAATTGGAGGGGGGCAAGTTTGAATTACTAGTATTAGTACAAAAATTGGAAGGTCTTTCTACAGTATCAGGTGTGTATTTGCATAAAAACTCATTTATCCACTCTCCTTTTAGAAAACTTTTTGGGGGTGTATATGTTTTATTGAATTTTCTCATTTTCTGCCAAATGACACTCATAGGAACTAAGCGTGATATAGAAGAACAAAATTGTTCCCAAGCAAAACGGCTTTCATTTCTAATAATAAGCTTCTTGGCTGCCTGAGCTCTTTTAAATGCTATGTAATTTTGCAAAGAATGATTTGATTTAAATAAAATGTATGCCTGTTTGCAAGCCTCTACTGCTTTAGTACATTTATCGTTCCACCAGGGTAGAGGTATGAATATTTTCTTTTCCCTACTCTGCAAATTTCTATTGACATTTTGTGTTCTAACACTACGATCTGATCTAGAGCTTCTTATTGTATCTTCAGCTACAGAAAATAATAAAGTACATAACCTAGAATAAGATTCTATAGCATCGGAATTATTTACCACAAAATGCTTAAGTAAACTATTAACATTTTGTTCATATTCTGACCAGTTTACTTGTTTAGGATTAAGCTGTTTGAAAGTATGAGAAAAAGTTTTAGGGATATAATTAACATGTGAAAATGTATACTGTGTTACAGTGGGAAGATGATAGCCGCCTAGAGGAGTATCACAGACCTGCCATTCACAGGACAAGGCTAAGTTTGAAGAAACCATTGTCAAATCAAGACCACTTGGACGCCAACTGTTTGTGCCAATTGTAGTGGGACTTCCATTATTTAAAAGAACCAAATCATTCTCTTCTATGATATCTATTAAATCTCTGCCCCGGGAGTCTATACTAGCGCAGCCCCATACTGTATGATGTGCATTAAAATCGCCGGCTAATATCATAGGTTTAGAAATAGATTTTATCAAGTTCACCAGTTTTAGCTTACTGAACGAAGGGTTAGAGCGAGGTGGACAATAAAAACTGACTATATAAAGAGACTTATTATGTATTTGAATTTTAATGCCTATGTTTTGTATTGATGAATCAGAAAAAGTTGTAATGTTTTGAAAGTAAATGCTGTTGTGTATTATAATAGCCACTCCATTGTGATTGTTACCAGAATCATTTCTAACTACAGTGTAACCTCTAATATCGAACTTTATATTGGGTTTTAACCAAGTTTCAGAAATTAATGCAATATGTATTTGATGATCACTAAGAAATTGTTTTAAAACATTTTTGTTATGTGTAATACTTTGAGAATTCCATTGCATTATATTTATGCTATTAAAATTGAATTATAAAATAAAAAAAATTGAAGCTTGTATGTAATTTCTTAGTTATTTAAAATAAATATGTAAGTATCATGTTTTACTGTTTTGTAATGTAGTTTGTAGAATATCAATAATATTTTGAGAATTTATAGCCATATTCTCTGTTTTGTTTAAAGATATAATTTTCAGTAAAGATTCTGTTAATAAGCCTAAAAGTTTTTTATCTGTGATTATTTTGGTCATGTCTTGGGGTGATTGTGTCAAAGAAGGAAAATTATTCTCATTAAATAATGAATTATATGGTCTTTGAATAACTTTATTTTTGTTTTCTATAATTTTTTTCTGTTTTGTTGGACATTTACCAGAAATAGCGATGTGATTCCCTTTGCAGTGAATGCATAAAGCCTTGTCTACACTGACAGTGCACGTCTTGAAGGAGTGACCTTCACCACAAATTGAGCATCTTTCAGAGTTTTTACAAAATTTTGCCAAATGGCCGTACCTTAAACAGCGGAAACATTGCTTAACAGGAGGTACGTACGGCAATACCGGCAACCTCCACATCTTCAGAAAAACATAATCAGGAAGAGATGTTGAGCTGGCAAAGGTTATAGCAACAGTCTGAGTTGGCTGCAAAGAAACAATATCATTATCTTTAATGCGTTTCATTATACGTCGTACACTTATAATTTTCCTAGTGTTTAATGACAGTGCC